ATAACTGCTGAAATGTTTGCGGGGCAAATCTGAGATCAGTCTGCGCTCATGGTACTCACAGTGCGTACAGCCGTACACCTGCAGGCACCACAGACTCGGACGGTTGTCGTGGTAACAAACACCGTAAACAGCAACCGTTCGCGTGTCCGCGCTTAATGCGCATATCCTATATGAAAAGCATTTTAGGGGGCCCTTGGCTTTTGGGGGCCCAAGGCGGACGCCTACCTTTGCCTAATTGGTTAGTCCGCCCCTGATTATTCCCTTGGTAAAACAGTTTTCTTATTTATTTGCAACAAGAAGCAATTTTGTGTGTCAATACAAAATTGCATCACGTAAAACGAGAAACAGTAAACATACGCGGTCATTACGCCTAAATAACGCTCCGTATCTGGCATGGGTCTGCAGCACTGATGGAACACCCACACAGAATTTTTATTTCCCTTCCCAGCAGCCTATTTCCCTCAGCGTCTACTCAATCACTGGCTGAAACAGAGGTGTCTGAACTCTAAAGGTGTCATTACAACATGAGAGATGGGGCATGAACAAGAAAAGCGAAAAAAGGTGAGAAAGATAGACAGAGACTACGAGAGTGGGAGACTGATGAAGAGTGAGAAAAGAGACTGTGTAAAAACTACAGACACAATTGAAGAAACAAGAGGATGAGAGCAAGAATATTGAAGAAGAGCAGGTTGGCCGATGGCCAATATGATGCTAATATACACATATCATTATACAATATAGTAATGATGCAAGTAATCAGCTAAAGTGGTCAGCCAATGATAATATTTCTTTCTAAAAGATAGAGACTATACAATATCATCAAAGTTTCTGTCCTGCGAGTGCTGACATCTGCAGACAGTTGACCATCTATTAAATCTAATAAAAGCATTGAACAGTGGCACTTCAAATAAAACAAATGACTGCTTAAGTCGGTTTCAGTACAGACAATGAGCCTGCTATTCTCACTGAAACACAGGCTCAGTCCAAGTAGAGTGATCTATTGTCGACTTGGCAAGTCATTTCTGGATGGAGGTTCAGATCTGTGCCGCCTGTGTATGATCTTCTTTAAAAAATAAATCTAATTCACTAGTTCACTGAAATTAGTGTCATATAAAACCAGAGGCATCTGGAAGCCAGAAACATCAGACTACAAACAACAAAAAAGCTATATGAGCTTAAAAAGCATAACATTTTCATAGAAGCCCTTAAGAGCAAAAGGAAAAGGAGCTTACAGAAAAAAAAATAAGAGAGCAATAAGTTCTTCATTTACAAAATATAAAAAATACAATGCCAGAAAATAATATAAACTATTAACTTTTTTGTGGATTCTTACAAAATATACTTTCCGTACCCACTGTATATATACTCTCAAGTTGAAAGGGGGGGTAAGCTTGTGATGCTTGTGTAACATTTGTGAAATGCACAAATGTCCAGCTTTGTACATGTCCATTGGTCGTATACTTTAATCAAAACACTAGTATTTAAAAAAACATGAATTAACAAAAATGGACATCCTTGAATAAGTATGATGAATTAAGCTTCAAAGAGTGAGCATGCATTTGCGCACACCAGATAAACTGTAAAATGTAGAAAGAAGTTGACTTATTCTTGCAGTCTACAACCAAATGGTTTTCAAAGGCATGGTAATTTTTATAGAACAGTATTTACAGACCGGCGTGCGATGACTGGTTGTAAAGACCAGGAAGTAATGTGAATAAAGAGGACCTAACAAAGAGGCCTGCCTCGACTAAATAAGTTACATGAAAAGCATTTGAGGCAAACAACATAAAGCCCTGAATGCTCTCGAACAACCTAAATGCAAAACTGAATCATTATAAAAGTAGTACAGTGAGGGAGGAAAGTACATTTTTAACACCATTTCCAAGCTCGTAAGGTAAATAACTGGGACGCGCTTCATTAATATCTCTCCAGAACAGCTGTTTGGATTAAACAAACACAGATATTATTACAGGCTTCTGCCAATAATAAAAGTAAAACCTAAACAGATCTAGAATGAACACGATAGCATATTTCTGCACTAATTTCCCCATGCATCTCCAAGCAGAGATGAAGAAAGAGACACTATAGAGTATATGCTCATCTACTGTACCAGATAAACTGAACAGAAAAACAAACAGTGTTAACCGTTGGCATTCTGAGGTTTATGAAAATGGTAATGAGACTCATGAACAATAGACTGATCTACGTCAATTGTAAATAAATGCAATGTGGGACACTAAATCCACACCTCATTCTTGATCATGGTAATCAGAAACCCTCCCAATGACAACAGCCAATTTTCAGATTCTAAATAATTCACATTATGTCACCCTTAAGTTATTGTAATTACTGCTAAGAACTGACCTTCCTTGAGCCCTGGAACACAACCCGTAAAAAAAGAACTGTAAAACATGTGAGATTATCATCACATAATATGCCAATGGAAACAGTAAGAGTGACATACATAACCCGAAACAAACAGACCTGTATTTCCTCATAAGCCTCGTCAACGGTGGTGACTTGGTGCTGTTCGTGTAAGGCAGGCTCATCACAGAAGAAGCACACCAAGCTCTTGTCACTTAAGCAGAAGAGCTTGACCTTTTCATGGTCCTTGCACGGGTACGAGTTCCTCTGGGCGTTCAGGATGGCATCCAGAGGGAAAGCGGCATACCTCTCCACGATGTTGGAGAGCTTCAGGCTCGGGGACAGAAGGGGATCCGTGAAGGTCCTCCTGCACTCCGGGCAGTCTCGCGCCCCGTGATGCTCCTGTCTGCTCCAGTGCTCAGTGATGCACTTACGGCAGAAGTAGTGCTCGCAGCCGAAACTGACAGGGTCTTGATAAATGCTCAGACAAATGGAACACAAGAGCTCGTCCTTCAGACAGCAAGCCATTTGAATCTACGGAGGGGTCGGTCATGCACTGTGCAGGTAGCAGGACGCACAAACCCCAAGTCTCTCAATCAGCGGGCTCTTTGAGGCTTGAAAATGTTCCTCGACTGATTCCTGAAAAAGAGCGCAAGTAAGAAAGGCACTGTAAAGATGGTTCTGCAACAGGCATACTTTGATAAGTTTAATATTAGACTCTCGGATTATCAGGTATAAAAGCTTTAGACATGGACTTTGTCCTAAATTATCATGAATTGATGAGCAAATGCAGATAAATCTGATTGAAAGTAGACAAGAAAATGTCGATACTCCTTAATTAAAAAGAGAAAGGTCTGAAATCTGATTACTTACTGGACTCATTCTGCAAGATTCAATAGTACCTTATCGAGCCCATTAAAAAATAATTACATTTTCATTTAAGAATGTTAAAGGATACTCCCTGGATAATTAAAGACATTCATTTCTAAAATAATTTTATACAGATGTCATGCAGTCACAACCGACTCAACTATCAATCAAATGAATCAAATTATCAATCAAATTAAAAGAATCTTGCATGGAGACCCAACCTTGCTTTGAATGAATGAATGAACGATTAAATGTCTTTATACAAATAATGTTTAAATAATCTATTTTGCAATACCTTTTCCTATTTTCTGTATTTATTTTTCATTTTTATTCTTTATTTATATTTTCCTATTATTATATGCATTTGTTTATTTTATTTTTAATTTTTATTTATTTTTATTTATTTTATCATAGGTTTGGGCATCCATAATCGTGTAAAAACATTTAAAAAAGAACTTAATGCATTTAAAAATCAGAAATCATTCATCATTATATTCCCTCGCTACTTACTAATTAAAAACATTATAAAATCGTTCAATTTATACACGCTGCCACTCAGTCACAATAGACATCCACTGAATTCAATATAACAAATCTGAAATTGTCAAAATAAATTCTGAATCGCTAAATTAGGTTATAAATACTGTCACCATATACTTCCACTTAAGTTAACAGGATCTTAGTCCATTTAAATCAGCGGTTTACACAGAAAGCTCCTGTACACCATGGCAATTGCAGAAAAGTTATAAATATCACTGCTTTGTTTTAAAAAACAGCTTTTCAAATCATTTCTCTTCCCTTTTTCCATTGTTTTCTTTTTACTGTTTATCCAAGCCGGCTGCTAAATAATTAGCCAGCTAGCAGGATGTGTAAACAGATTTCCTATCTATTTGGTCCTCTCCGAAAACGGACATTCTCACTTCTTTCACTTACCCTAAGCGGTCCAGACGCGTTGTACAGTGGAAACAGCCGACTGTCACATAATTGAAAGAGCAGGTCGTGGTTTTAATTAAACATTTTCATCAGGTCAGATTGTTCAAAGCTGAAGAGCGACCGCACGCGCAGCTCCTCTTAAATCGCACTGCTCTACTCTCGATCCAGAGGCGCACAGCAACGGAGCGAACCAACTCTACAGGGGACACACACACAAACAGGTGGCAAGATAAGACAGCTCTCTCGGGAGTTTGATTCGTGCTGTAAGGAAATTAAGTAAAGTACACACCTTTCATTTGTGTTTGTCATCTGGGCTGGATTCGTGAAAGATATAAGACATTTTTACACGGGTAAAGGTGAACCCCTCCCGCTGCTGTGATGGTACAGCCCTGGCTGCCTCATCATGGGCAGAAATGAGCATATGATAATATCAGAGTGATTGCTCGCACTCTGCTGGCGTGTGTTTGTAGGTCGACGCGAAATTTGATTTTATACAGTGAGTTCAGTATACTAGTAAATTGTTTAAATGAAAGAAAACATCTAAAAATAATTATAACATTTAAAGTATTACTTTTAACATAATTAGCACAGCATGTTTTGATTTCGTTTATGGTGTTCTTAATCTGCAATGCATATTGTCAGCTTTTGTTCAGGTGTATAGGCTTCAATGGAATTATATTATAAATATTATATTAATAAATTATATAATACACACACACACACACACACACACACACACACGAACACACTAACTGTATATTATTATAGTTATTATATTATTATAGTTAATAATAATTATTAACTATATAACTATAAATATAAAATATTTTTAATATTTACATTTTTTATTTCTTTTTCATTTTTAATTGGTTTATTAAATTGTATAATATGTATTTTAAAATAATAAATAATTATTATAATTATTTACTATGTAATAATAATTAACTATGAGCTAAATTAAATTACTCAAAATTAAATCCTTAAATAAATGTTGAAATATGTAAATAAGTTGTTAAATGCATAATTATATCATTAAATACATAAGTAAATGCATGAATGAATTAATGAATTAATGAATCAATGTTTGAATGAATGAATCAATCAATCAGTGTATGAATATTTATTTTTATGCATTTATGCATTTAATTATGTATTTAACGATTTATTTATATATTTCAACATTTATTTAATGATTTAATTTTGAGTAATTTGGCCCTCCAGGCATAATAATTATTTATTAATTAGATATATAATATTATATAACATATCATATGATAGCAATATTCTAAAATAAAAATAAACATAAGGGGGAGAAAAGAATTATATTAAAAGATGATTACTTCAATTAATGCTAATGTATTTATACATCATGGTATGATGTTTATGTTTTTTTTATTTTTTTTTATTATATTGATGAAAATCACGATGCAAAAAAAAAAAAAAAAATAGCCCTAAACTAGACTTATAAAATATATTTTTTGTTTCATATTCTTCCTACTTATGAAGGCTGCAGGTCAGCAGAACAAGTTTTGCTCAAAACCATCTGGTGCATCACTGGTCAGCTGCATGACTGAATTACTTTCCTTATTATTGTCAAAGTGCTTTCAAAAAAATGCATTGCTTTGCTCATGCACCCACATTTCCCGACACCGCCTCACGTCTCACTTTAGAAGCTGACCTTTGACCACCAAACCTTTTGCTGAGTTATTCTGGTGCTCGTGGTTTGACTTGTGCCAAAACACATTTTACACAGCAAAAAGAAATAAGGATGTCTTCTACACCTGTCCCCATGCACTTTACAAGAAGAACCGCTGATTCATACATTCCCTGCAGTTGCCGGACACATTCATCAACACTAGGCCTTGTTTATTTGTGTAGTTTCGGTGTGTGAGAAATCTGAGGTTCTGTGGTTCATGTTCATTGTTTGCATCTCACAGTTGCAGAGCAATCAATATGTGCACCACACCATGCGTTCATTATGAAACCGTGCAACAAAGATACTATCAGAATTCATTCATAGCTTGCATACATTGCATTGGAGAAGCGGTGTGCTTTAATGGGTAGACCGTTGGTTTGCTTCCCTACCTCAACCTGATGTCAGGATTTCCTGTCACAGTGTGCAGCGCAAACAAGCCATTTCCCACAAACAGAATGCTATCTCTGCTGTTTGCTTACTCATAATCATAACACTTGTGCTTTTATCACATTGCTGTGCTTTCACAACAGGGATGGATTGGAATGGAGAACGCAACTTACTGAAATGACTCACTGCCAAGCACCTATAGGGTTTCGGTATGCATTGTTGGCTCTGTTAGAAAATAAACTTTCACATGTGCGCTAGTTTATTTAAGCTGTCCACTCACAATGTCCAACAGTGGATTTTTTTCTGAAACCATCCCAAGTCATTTTTAATGTCACATCGCAATTTATCATTTATTCGTGCTGTCAAACGATTAATCGCATCCAAAATAGACGTGTTTGTTTACATACTATATGTGTGTGTACTGTGTATATTTATTATGTATATATAAAGACACACACATACAGCATATATTTTGAAAATATTAACATGTATATATTTATATAAATTCTATCATATATAAATACATTTAATATATAAACGTAACGTTAAATATATACATGCATGTGTGTGTATTTATATATACATTATAAATATACACAGTACACACACATACAGTATATTATGTGAACAAAAACTTTTATTTTGGATGTGGTCGCAATTAATC